TTGGAGTTGAATGTACTCGGGCACGCAAGAGAACAAAATGATCAGAAGTACACCCTCTCGAACCAACTTTGGCATCATTCATTGAGTGTAAAGCAAAGGTTAGAGCAACTCTACAAAAGGATAGAAGATTTACGTTGACCACAGTTGTCCTTCAACATACGCATGACTTGATTCCTAGTGACTCACGACATTTTGCAATGAATAAGAGAATTCTTACCCCTGTGAAGAGAAGACTAGAAATAAACGATGAAGCAGGAATAGGGGTGGCTAGGAATTTTCATTCTATAGTTGTTGAAGCAGGGGGGTATGAGGCATTAACATTTGATGAACAAGATGCAAGGAATCATATTCAGAGTATGAGAAGATTAAGGCTTGCGGTAGGAGATGCTGAATCAGTTGCACTTTATTTTCATAGGATGCAACAACAAAATTCAAACTTCTATTATGTAATTGACCTCGATAAAGATGGTCGCAGGCGAAACTTGTTTTGGGCGGATGCAAGGAGTAAGGCAACTTATAAAGCATTTGGGGATGTGGTTTCATTTGACACAACTTATCTGACAAACAAATATGATATGCCATTTGCTCCGTTTGTAGGAGTTAATCACCATGGGCAGTCAATTTTGCTTGGTTGTGGGCTATTATCTAATGAGAACACTAAAACATTTCTGTGGCTATTCAGAGAATGGTTAAGTTGCATGTTTGACGTTCCTCCAAAAGCTATAATAACAGACCAGTGCAGAGCAATGCAAAATGCCATTGAAGTTGTCTTTCCAGAAGCTCGACATCGTTGGTGCTTAAGGCATATCATGAAGAAAATTCCTGAGAAATTAAGAGGATAGTTACAAAATGCAGTTTATGATTGTTTTACAAAACATGAATTTGATGAAGAATGGCCAGCGATGATTGGAAAGTTCAACCTAGATGATAATGACTGGTTGGAGGTATTATACAGTGAGCGACACAGGTGGATTCCTGCGTATGTGAAGGATGTTTTTTGGGCTGGCATGTCAACTACACAACGAAGTGAGAGTATGAACGCATTTTTTATCCATGTTTTTAATGTATGTCTGTAGGTTGAATACTCCAGGTTAAATATTGAATCTGTATGTTGAATGCTCCAGGTTATATTCCAGGTTTTTCATATTCCAGGTTATATTTCATGGTAATGCTCCAGGTTGAATCTGCATGTTGAATGCTGAAGCTATATGCTCCAGATTGCTGAATCTGTATTTGAATACTGAATCTGTTTGTGAATCTGTGAATCTGCCTGAATTTTGAATCTGTTTGTGAATTTGCCTGAATTCAAACAAATCCAGATCCAAACAGATCCATTCAAACAGATCTGTTATGCTCCATGAATGCTCAATCTGCTATGCTCCATGAATGCTCAATCTGTTATGCTCCAGATCCATTCAAACAGATCCATTCAAACAGATTCATCATAAAATGCTCCAGGGAATGGTTGTTCAATCTGTTAAAGATTTATTAATAAAATGGTCTAGGTTATGGTTGTTCAAACAGTAAATTCATCCATTCAATCTGTTATGGTTGTTCAATTCATAATAAAACAGATCCATTCAAACATTGCATTCAAATTTTGTAATAGAATACGTCTATTACAAAATATGTCGATTACAAAATACGTCCATTACAAAATATGTCCATTACATAATAGAATACGTCATTCAAGTATGTCCATTACATCCATTCAAACACTTCCCAAAATATGTCTATTACATTTATTTACATGATAAAGTAAAAAAATACACAAAATACAATGACATAAGTCATTGCCTTCAAAATCTTCTCCATCCTTTCAAGCCTTCTATCATGCTCACCAAGCCTTCTCCTTAGCTCATTGATTTCTTCAGTTCTTATATCTGTGGAGGTAACATTATTGTCATCATCATCTGCGAAGCTGAAGAAATTGCAGTGTTCGTTCACAGTCTATAATGCACAAGAATCGGTTAATCAAATAAGACAAACAAAATTTGTAAAAAGTGAAACATTAATTTATCTACTTACATATTTGTCTGGGCAAACAAAAAACACATGTCCTTCGTTTCCGTTCTCATTGGTTCATACAATGTGAACGGATGCTGTTCTTTCACAATAACAGAATCTTGGCTTTAATCTTATTTTCACATGATTAGTAGAAGATGACGCCATTTTTTTTATCTACATAAAAAATACCAATAGATTCAACTACCTTAATCTTGATAACAAAGCAACTTTAAATTCTCATGAATGTTGAATGCTTAAATTCAATGTTGATAACAAAGTGAATGCATAAAATCAATGTTGACACTTACAATGATCTTTCAAAGGTATCCATTTCAAACAGATGATAAGTCTCTTTCAATCTGTTACTTATGAATCTGTTTGGGGTTTTGTTAAGTTTTATGAATCTGTTAGTTACTTACGAATTTGGTGCTTAGAAAGGGTCAACTCATAAGTCTGCAAAAAGTCTACCAATTTTGTGTGTCTGTATGTCCCTTATTCTATTACAGTCACTTTTGGTCTATAACATTGAGAAAGATATCTAAGGACTTCACATACAATTCTGCTTCAGGTATGGTGTCACATAGGCTGAAAACTGTATTGGTGAATGAACTATGTCATTGAGCCTAGCATAAAACTGGTCAAAGGTCTCAGTAACTTTCAAAGTCTTTGAGCCTAGCATAAAACTGTTAAGATGAATGAACCATGTCATTGAGACTAGTAAAACTGTATTGAAATGCACATACCATGTGTATTGAGCCTAGTAAAATTATAATTTTCAAATGAGCCTAGTAAAATTATAGAGCCATCTATCATTGAGCCTAGTAAAATTTTCAAGCTGTTATAATACAGAAAATGAACCTAGTAAAATTATAAATATCCATCTATCATTGAGCGTAGCATAAAACTGTTAAGCCATCAGATTGAAATGCACATGCCAAGTGTATTGCAGATTGAAAACTATGTCAAGTCATCAGATTGAAATACAAATCTGAAATACACATCTGTATAAACTATGTCAATCTGTTCCTCATCAGTAACTTTCAAAACATACCAAGTGTCTTTGGCATAACATATTAAGTGCTAATCTCAAAATATACCATCTTGGATTTTCCAACATATTAAGTGCCTTATGTAAAATTCAATCAAATGGACACAGATTCAATGCTGCTTTAATGCTAACAGATTCAAGCAGATTCAAACAGATTCAATGCTAACAGATTCAATGAATACAATTACTATGCTAACAGATTCAAGCAATGCTAACAGATTCAATCAAATGGACACAGATGATAACCAATGAAATATACACTTGGTATGTCATAGTTTTCAATCTGTTATTGATTTGTATTTCAATCCTAACAGAAATGGACACAGAGGCTATGTCAAATGTATTGAATACAAATGAGCATAGTTTTCAAATTAGAATACAAACAAATGGATTGAATCTGTTAACCCAACACAGACACATATGTGAATACAAACAAAACACAAATGGCTTGGTATTTTTGGGGTTTAGTAGAAATTAGTCGAGGATCTGTTCACCATTTGAATCTGTTAACCCAACACAGATACATAGGTGTATTTTTGGGTATGTTAGCCAATCAAACATACCAAGCCATCAAATGAAAACTATCACATACCAAGCCATCAGATTGTATTCAAATTAGCATTTCAAATGGACACAGAGGCTGACAGATTCAATGATAGTTCGACTAATTTCTACAAAATATTAGTCCTCCTCAGTCGTCCAAACATTATTATAAACCCTAATTTCTACTGAACCCTAACATGGCTAATTTCTATAAAAAAAAATCGACTAATTTCTACAAAAAATTGATGCCAAACATAAATCCTAACATGGCTCGATTTGGGGTTTACCTCATTCGTCCTTCGTACTGCTTCAACAGACAGGTGAGAGAGGCGAGAGATAGAGAGGATGTGTAGTCAATATGAGAGGCGAAAGGAGAGGAATGAGGCCTGGGTCAAGAAAAGGAAGAAGAAGAAAAAAAAAAAAAAACGGAACCCAAAACGACGTCGTTTTGGGTTTCGAGCCAAAGGCTTTCGAGCCCTCAAACATTATTGTTTATTTTAATAATTTAGTGTTTGTTTGGATCAATTTGTACTCAACTGGATAATTGTGATTATTTTTTTTTAAAATAATGAATTTCAACTACTAATGACATAATTTTCTTGGTCAAATTTGTTTTTTTAAAATAATGAATTTCAACTACTAATGACATAATTTTCTTGGTCAAATTTGTTAAGAATTTCAAAATATCTAATTAAGATCGGTAAAATATAAAAATATAAAAAATAAAAATAAATAAATAAATATTGTAAATCAACAATACTACTTATTCATAAAATTTATTTAGAGAATTAACTAGAATTTGAAATCTACGATGGCCATACAACAAGAAATTTAAATTTACATTGTCGATTCAAGTTCAATTTTTTATTCATGGTAGTTGTCATCATTTTATGATAAAAAGATTAAAAAAATTATGACTGAGATTAGATAGCCATCCCTCAACTACATATATTGTAAGTCTCAAGTGCCAAATTATTAAAATGCACTTACTTCAAACTTGGGTCCAGTGCCACCTTGGCAATGGAGTGATTTGAGTCCATTATTATATACATATGGCAAACCAGACCCAAGTTGTCTTCTATGTTAATAATGTAATAAATGTAAAATGATATTTTCAATTGAGAAAAATTAGATATCAAGAAAAAATTTTCATGAAAATAATCATGAAAGATTTATGATCGGTGAATTACCTTGATTAGTGTGTGGTGCTTTATTCTAAGTGTAATTCAAGGGTCACAAAACTTTTATAATTATTTTCATGAAAGATTTTTCATGATACTTAACATTGCTGTTTTTAATTAGATAGTCCAAAAATCATTAATAAAATGGTCGGGAGTTATAAAAGGTCACACACAGCTGAGAGGTAAACCCAACCAAGAAAAGCCAAGAATCAACAACAATAATGGCTAGTGTTTCAACTCCTCACTTTGTCATATTTCCATTCATGTCCCAAGGCCACACCATCCCTCTCCTAAACCTCGCCCGCCTTCTCCGGCACCGCCATATCTCCTTCGCCATCTTCACCATCCCAGCAAATTCTGCGTCCATCCGCGATTCTCTCACCAATACCGGTATCTCCATTATCAACCTCCCCTTCACGGAAAAGCTAAATTCCATGTCATTGTTTCTTTCAATTGCTAATGCCACAAAACAGATGCAACCTCACTTTGAACAAGCCATTGAGTCTCTTCAATCTGTCAGCTGCATAATCTCTGACGGGTTTCTGACTTGGACTCAGCAATCTGCAGCAAAGCTGGGTATTCCTAGACTAGTTTTCTATGGAATGAGCAACTATGCCACGACTATGAGCGAAATTGTGGTCCGAGAACGCCCACATGCAAAGGTTAGTTCAGATGATGAGCCCTTTCCGGTTCCAGACTTCCCGTGGTTGAAGCTGACAAGAAATGACTTCGAGCCACCATTTAGTCAGGTTAAACCCGAGGGTCCACTCTTCGAGTTTGTACTCGAGCAATATCTTGCATTGTAAGGGTTAGTTGTCAATAGCTTCTATGAGCTTGAACCGGCCTTCATTGATTACTGGAGCCAAAAAATTGGACCCAGAGCTTGGTGTGTTGGACCACTATGCCTGGCAGCAGAGCCACTAGTATCACAAACACCACAAAAACAGCCATGGGTTCAATGGCTTGACACAAAGGTAGCTAAGAGAGAGTCAGTATTATATGTTGCTTTCGGGTCTCAGGCAGATATGTCACCGGAACAATTGCGCGAAATAGCATTGGGCTTAGAACAAGCTAAGGTTAACTTTTTGTGGGTTTTAAGATCGAAAGGATCCGAGTTCTGGGAAGGGTTTGAAGAAAGGGTGAAGGATAGGGGAATAATAGTGAAAGAGTGGGTAGACCAATTGGAGATACTCCAGCACGAGAGCATCAATGGGTTTTTGAGTCACTGTGGTTGGAACTCAGTTGTAGAGAGTATAAGTGTAGGAGTGCCAATATTGGCACTGCCATTGATGGCCGAGCAGCACCTGAATGCGAGGATGTTGGTGGAGGAGATCGGCATAGGACTCAGACTTATGCCAAGCAATGGCTCTGTGCGTGGATTTGTGAAGTTGGAGGAGGTGGAGAAGGTGGCAAGAGAGTTGATGGAAGGTGAGAGAGGAGTAGCAGTGAGGATGAAGGTGAAAGAGGTCCGCAAAGCTGCATGTGCTGCAATGAAAGAAGGCGGATCATCCTCCAGCATGTTGAACCTACTCATCAATGAGTTTGGTGGTCCACACCCATGAATGTAGGCCCTGTTTGTTTGGTATTATTGAGGGGGGATTGGATTTATAATAAGGTGGGATTTATTATGTTTGTATTTGTTTTGGGAGATGGAGATGAGATTTGTAATTCTCTCCGGATTATAAATCCCCTTGAGGAAAGGATTTGAATAGGCCTCCAACATTTGGTATTAAAATATAGTCTGTCGAACTATTTGTTTTTTATTTTTTACATGTCGGGTATTTTTTTTTTTAAACATTAATGTTTAATGTTTTTGTATTTTTTTTATTTGTTTTATTATTTTATATTTATTTTACATAAAAATAATTTAACAATCCATACATTAACAACTATCATTAAAACAAACACAATTTTACTTAATCTCCTTACTAACAATCTCCTTATTATAAATATTGAAAAATCTAGAAATCTCCTAGATGTTGATTTGAAATTATGTATCAATTTTAAGCAGTAAATAATAATCTCAATCAAACAATTAAGACAAGTCAACACAACGATTTTACGTGGAAAAACCACAATTGGACACCTCCAATTGTGATAAAAAAATCACGGGCAACTGCCACAAAACAAACTACTAAGAAGATATAAAGGAATTACACAGGTATACTCTCAATTACCTAGCGAATCCACGCCCGAATTCAATCAACCCCTATGTGCCTCTTCCAACCCCATCTTCACCTCGGAATTGTCTTGACGATGAGCCACGCCAGAATCCAGCAAAGCTTCAGGCTCGAATTCTTCGGAATCCACCGAAGAACAATTCTTTCTTTTGTGTAGAACAACCAAATAATCCTTTGATGTATACTCTTTAAACCATGAGTTGAATACTCAATCAAAACATCAAAGAAAACTAGCAAAATATCCCTAGATATAAACCTTAATATCTAAGAAGAAGATCTGGAGGATTAATCTTAGTTTTGGACTAAAACAAATACTTATAGAAATCTGGGACTACGAAGCTCGCTCGAGCGAAGTTTCTCTCGCTCGAGCGAGGAACCAAAAACGCGTGTTTTCCATAAGTGGCTTCGCTCGATCCACGCAAACTTCGCTCGAGCGTACATTCATCTCTTTTAGGTTTTTACACAGACGCAGCCTTCGCTTGAGCGGGAACTCCTTCGCTCGAGCGAGCAAGGGCGGACAGGCAACTTTGAATGCAATTTTGCATTTTGCTTCGGAGACGCTGTCCCTTGACCCCGCCGTAACGCTGCCTCTTGGACCCTCGTGAGCTGACCGGGCAGCTCGATCCCCGTCATAATCAGCGAAGTGGCAATCTTGAAAGTATTAACATCACAAACTTCTCTGTAAGGCACAATTCGAGTTGAATTCACATCTAAACACTCAAAGCCTCACTGAAATAAAAAGTGCGAAAATAAGTACAACTGAAAGGAGTTTTGTCAAACGGAATTGCCAAGAATAAAAACCTAACAATCTCCCACTTTGGCAATGCCGTGACAAAACACACCTAACAAATAAAATCCTAATTACCCCAATCTGTTATAGCCAACAAAAACAAACTTTTTTCTCAAGGTCATGATCTGCAAAACAGTTATTAGTGTCACAATCTCCAAAACAACTATTAATACCACAAGAGTACATGAAAAAGCAATTAACATATGACAAGATTATCTTGAAGCATGAGATAAAAAACATGAATAGATGCGACTTGGAGATATTAACAACATGTAGCATGAAAACTAAGACATATGCACTTGACAACATTTCTCCCCCTTTTTGTCACGAATTGACGAATGAAGCTCAAACAACTACAGTAAAAGCATAAAACACACAAGCCATGACATGATAACAATTAACCAAACTCCCCCTCACTAAAAGCAACCACAAATACTGAAAAACAATGAACAAGAAGAAAACGATAAAAATAATAAGGTGAAGCAAGTAAGGAATTTCAAATTTGGACCTTGAAACACACAAGATTATCCAAGAAGCACAATTACTTGAAAACACAATGTGCACAGCCTCTAGAAGATTTCTCATAAAAGAAAGTGATGCATTATGTGAAAAGCATAGATCCCATGATAAAAGTGTGTGTGTGACTCTTGAAATTCAACAAGCGCAAGATTCAAATCCTAGTAGTGATCTGATAGCTGGGCCTCCGGCAAGAAAATCTAAGCACAACTAAGGAAAGTCAAACCACTAGGAATCAAGGGGTATTTGGTGAGTAAAGGCGGAGGCTCCCCCTCAATCAATGAATCCTTTATTTTTTCCCTTGTTTTTTTCACATCTTTTTCTTTTCTTTCTTTTGCACATCTTTTTTTTTTCTTGTTTCTTTCTTTTGTACATTTTTTCTTTGTTTTGCACACTTATTGGCAGCTGACACGCTCAAGAGTATGGAAACCGAACCAGAGAAGCATGGATATAATAAGGATGGCCTGGTTGGTGACTCTGAGGTAGCCTTTTCCTTATGCTTGGACTACAAAGAACAGAGAGGAAAGCCATGGAGAAGCAAAAAGATGGAAGATGGTTAAGAGACTCAACATCACCTGTGATATGCTAGTATAGGTCAATTCCTCTAAAAAAGTAAAAGATACAATGCCAGAAGTCCATAAAGAAAAATGATCACTAAGGCAGAAGACTCCAAAATTTGCTAATCCAAGAGTGTGTACAAAATGAGACATACTAATCAAAAAACACACACTCCAAAAAGAGTAATGACCACAGAAAGCACACACATTTTAACATGTAATGGATATTCTCATCTATTCTAATATGCACCAAGGACCACTCAAAAATTTCAAGCTTGCAAAACCATACTAAGAAAATCTTTTTGTTTTTTTTTTTTCTTTAAACAAAGCAAGTCAGAAAACGAACATGCACACATTAAATGGCTCAAAAAAAACACACAGAAATCCAAAAACTAAAATGAATAAACAAATTAACACAAGTCAAGTTTTCTCACCCAAACCGCTTTAGTATGAACAAAGTTGTGAGAATTGCGGTTCTTGGGTGGTGTCTTGACGTTATGGTTCCCTTCTCCTTCAATGAGAACCCGTCTTGACATGGTTTCTAACTTCCTATTCCTAGGTCTAGGAAAACACAACCTCTGTTCATGTTTGGTCTCAAGCAAATCAAAATAACGAGGTCTAATCTGACTTTTAACCTTATTACCACCAATGAAGTGTCTCCTATCCCACGAGATATTGGAATTTATTCTATCTCTATGAGACACTCTCCCATGCAACACATAACAATAAGGGCGAATATGACCATGCATACCACAATGATGACAAATAAAAACAGAGTGTACCTTCTTTTCTTTGGCCTTACCAACTCTAGGAAGTTTGAGAAGTCCATCCTCATGTTGAATTTTTTGTTCTCCCTTTCCTTGAGTTCTTGTATCATGAGATGTGGAAGCACTCTGTTTTTGCTTTTTCTTACCACCAAAGCCAATGCCACTCTTGTCAGAACAAATTTGTTGAGAACCAATGATATTGTCCAAAGTCTTTGATCCTTTGTTCCAAAGACCAATGGTTGCCATAGCACACTTGAGCTCTTCCTCTTTCTTGATCATTAGTTCTTCCAAAGCAACTTAAGACATTTCGAGAGTTTCAATCTTTTCTTCATATGTTGCATAGATTTGCTGTAGCTCATTCCTCTCTGTCTCACAAGTCAAGAGTTTTACACAAAGAGCTTGTCGATCATTAGAAATCTTAAGAGCATCATTCCTAGCCTCGGAAATATCTTTCTTTAATTTGACATTCTCACTTTCACATGCTTTGAGTTTCGTAGTGAGTTTGTCATTCAATTTGAATAAGTTAAGAGATTCCTTATACAACTTTTGATATGCTTGCTGAAGTTCTTCATCTTCACTCTCTGAGGATTCATCATCAGTGGCATTCTCAACCGACCTCTTTGGATACTCTGTTCGTCCTTCAATTTCGGAAGCCGCCATGAAAGCAAGAAATTGTTTATGTCCCTCTTCACCTTTATCTTCATTGTCACTTTCATCTTCATCAGATTCTGATTCATCATCCCAAGTGATAGCGAAGGCTTTCTTCTTCCTCAAACGAGTGGGGCATTCTGAAGCAAAGTGGTCAAATCCTTGGCATTCATAGCATTGGACTCTTTCAGAGTCCCCTTGTATCTTTCGTTTCTCCTTCTTGGCTATAGAATTAATTTTGAGTTTATCTTTGCCTTTAGATATATGAGTTTGAGTAGATTCCAAAAGATTAGGATTTTTTTTCAAAAAAGATTTTTTAAATTGTTTAACAAAAGCAGCTGTAATCTTGGAATCTATCTCACAATCCCCATCAGAATCCTCTCCAACTCTATGAGCACTACTAAAAGCAATAGCATCTTTGTTTCTTTTTGAAATTCCTATGTGCCTCATAAGTTTGGAGATTTCCAACCAAGTGATCCAGTTTGAGGTTGTCAACATCTTAAGCCTCCTCAATAGCCGTAACTTTTGGTTGGAACCGATCGGGCAAGGATCTCAAAAATTTTCTCACAACTTTGGATTCTAGTATTTTTTTTACCTAAATTGAAGCTGGAATTAACAATGTCACTTAACTTAGCATAAAATTCATCAAAGGTTTCACCATCTTTCATTGAAAGGTTTTCGAAACTAGACGTGAGCCTTTGAAGTTTTGAGCGTTTAACAGAAGGAGTGCCCTCGTGAATAGTTTGTAAGATATCCCAAGCCTCTTTTGCGACTTCACAATTGCAAATACGACTAAACTCTTCAGGTGTGACAGCGCAAAAAAGAGAATTGATAGCTTTACTATTCCAGCTACTATTTTAGTAATCAATTGTGTCCCACTTATCAATTGGTTTGGGGAAAGTTACTCCATCAACGGTAATCGTTGGTTCAGTCCACCCATACATGACAGATTGCCAAACTTTTTCATCAATAGATTTTAAAAACGATCTCATCCGAGCTTTCCAAAATGAATAATTGGATCCGTCAAGTAGGGGTGGTCGAACCATAGAATTTCCCTTACGAATTGTATACATTATCACAAATCAAACAAGATCTCGCTCTAAT